CCGTGCGGGTACTCGAGCATTCGACTACCCGTCGCAGCCTTAGTAGCACAGCACTTTAACCTATCTGGGACATGGTTGCATATTCCTTTGAAGAAAGGCACGGGTAGAGTTGGCCTTTTGGGTGACAGTGTTGATGTGTTGGTTCCAGCTGAGATTCTTCTGCAACTTTAACTTTGCGGGACGCCAGATGTTACTCGGCTGGTGTTGGAGATGAATCCTTCCAGTACAACCTTTTGGGTCATGTTACTCAGGAAGTCAGAAACCCATGTGCGTGTGTGTGTTCCCGGAATAGACCCGGATTCCATAGAATTGAAGCTTGTGTAACAGCCTTCCATGGGGAACCTTGTCAAATGCTTTGGAGAAATCAAGGAGTACCATAACCAATTGTTCTCTGTCATCGATGGCTTTGGCGAGGTCTGGACAGCAAGAACAAGCTGGGAGACGCAGGATCGTTTCTTGAGGAATCCATGTTGTGCATCAGACAAGATATTGTGGTCTTCAAGGTGGCTCATGATGTAGACCGAAAACTTCAGTCTCTCTAATCGTCGGTTGTTCCACTGAGACTACGTCTGGCTCCACTAGACCTCCGATTATAGAGACTGAAGTCTGGGGACCTCTTTCTGTGAGGCACTGTACGGAACAAATGGTTCGGTTCGACCGGACCGCGATGAATGAGATATGCAACAAGATTTTCACTCTTTACATCCTCATAACTGCTGCAATTACAACACAAATTAAAAATAACATATATATAGCTTATTTGACTTACGATAGCTTGCTCATTTAGATCCTAAATTAATGATTAATCCGAGAAAGTCTCGTCGTCAACATTATCCGTCTTGGTTTTAGTTGATGAATATTCATTTTTTCTTTTCGAGCGTCCAATAGCTACCGTAGCTACGTACGAGTCGGCCCAGCTTGACCAACGAACTCCCACGAAACGAGTGCTCTGATTGGCCATTTGGCTATGTTTTGGTAGGTGGACCCGGAAATATATCGGCCGCCGGGTAATATTTCGAATGCATGAACGTACTGCTTCGCGGATCTGAGATACAAATTGGATAATTCATATAAGTAAGTCCGTAAATTATGTATTTAATATTAAGTTATCAAATTTTGATAACTGTAATTAGGACAAATGACATACCGACCTAATTTACATCTGATTTAGAAATCAGAAAATTAGATCTAAATAAAGAAAATCGGGGAGAAAATGTTTTGACAGAAAAAGCTGCCATTGTTGGCTATAGCTACCCCCACGGTACGAGATCTCTGGGTTGCCATCTGTATTGGGGAATGACAACAAATGTCAGTTTTATTAAAGAAATGACCCTAATCAGATGGTTATTGCTGTCTACTCATGATGCTGCTTAGAACGATGTGCTCCAGTACTTTACAGGTCACTGACGTCAGAGAGATAGGCCTGTAGTTCTCTGGCTTGCTATGGTCACCTTTCTTGAAGATTGGAGCAATATTCGCCATTTTCCATTCATCCGGTATGACACCCTGGTTAAGGGAGACTTGGAAGAATAAGGTGAACACAGGTGTCAGTTCGGTGGCAAGTCCCTTCAGAAGTCTGGCTGGGATTTGGTCAGGACCCATGGCTTGAAGAACATCAAGCTCAGACAGGGTCTTCAGAACCCCTGGTGGAGAGAACTCAACTGATTTCACTCAAAATCAGTACTTTAGTGTTAATTGATGACACCTAAATAGCAGTAAAATACAATTTTCAACTTCTATACTGATGTTGAAAAGAATAATTTAAAAATTTAAAATGTAAGTAAGTCTAGAATTTGCCGATCAGCCACATCGGTTCTATTGTGTGCAGTCTGTGTGTGGTGTGTGTAGGCCTATTTGTGTATTATACCTGTCTCTCAGTGCTAGAGGTCAATATGCATTAGCATCGACTCTATCTATGCTTTACTGGAGTGGATAGAAACTGGGATAGCATATGGACATGACTAGACTAAGCTAACACAGAATACAATACGTGGGACAAGATATTTCCACCACTTACCTGCATAGACATCGTTTTTGTATGTTCCAAAGCTGTCGTCGTTAATGACAAGGCATTTTTTGTCAGTAGATGATTCAATAAATGACTGGAGCTGGTTAGATCGTTTACTCTTCCCGCTACTCGGGTACCCACACATAATTACCAACGGCATAATCGAGCCAAAATAAGGCCTACACAGCACGAGATCACCGCACAGAATTTCAGAATTCACAATCTCACTCACGAGTCGAGTCGATCGTCGAGCTAGTGATAACACGTCGCCCGGTCGCGCCGGGCCGATTCTTCTCGCCGACGAACCTGGCTAGGCTGGGTCCTTCGATTCTCGTATTTCAGGTGTAAAGAAGAAGAAGAAGAAGAAGAAGAAGAAGATTGAAGATTTATTTATTTCTCAATTCCACTGACATGAAAACAATTCATTCCTGAACAACAACAAGTTCATCGTCAACAAGAATAAATTCATGAACAATAACAAGAAAGTTGTAAATACCTGGGATAAATACTTTGAAAATGTGGAAAAGAGGTGGTCTGTAAAAAAGCACAGAAGAAGAAGATAATGTGAACATGATGAAGATCAAAGAAGATGATGAAGAAGACGAAGGAGGAGGAGGAGGGGAAGAGGAGGAAGGGGAGGAAGAAGGAAAAGAAGAGAAAGGAGGAAAAGTGAGGAGAGAACTAATGTGCTGATCGCAACGTATGGGGAAAATATTTCTGACAAATTGATTATTTTATTTGAAATGTATTTCCATTCATATACATATTTCATTCTGTTTGCAAACATGTTCGTATATCAATCCTTATACCATACGCCATAGTTTACAGGCACGTAGCCACGGGGGAGGGGGGACGGGGAAGGGGGCACGTGCCCCCCACCCCCCCCCCCCCCCAAAAAAAAAAATCCAAGATCGGTTGAACTTTTTTAAACCCCTCCCCAGGACGTCGATCGATAAGGCCTAAAATTAGAACTTGTTGTATTGGCCTTTGGGTGCCAAAACATGGATCGGTCGGTCGGATTTTTTTTTTTTTTTTTTTTTTTATATACCTTTTTTTGTGTGGCCTCTTTGGGCCGAACTTTTTCAAATTTGAATGTTTTGGGGTTTTCCGTTTTTTTCCTGCCCTCTTTTGGCTGATATTTCTCAGTTTTTAATGCTTTGTGTTTCAGCGTCATCATTCCATTGATATATTTTCACCTCATAATTATCCATGGTTTGCACGAGTGAGAACTTTTGAATAATTTAATTGGATGCATTTATATCCCATTTAAACAAACGAAATACATATTTTTTTATTCATTAATTTAAACAAATCTAAAAAATGGTTTAAAAAAAAACTTTTTTAAACTGGCCGACCGTAGATTTTCAGATTTTGGGGTCGGTCGCAAAGGGCAATACAACAAGTTTTTATTTTAGGCCTTACATGTACAGTATGTGCCCCTCCCCCCCCCCCCCCCCCCTACAAACATCTAACTCTTTTTATATTGGCCTACATCTTTGCGTTCTATATTGTTATAGCCAGCGTATGTGTAGGGCCTACGTGTACGTACCCAATACCCATCAAATTTTAGACTTACTAGTGGTTCTGAAATGTCTGCATGCATATAGTTATTATAGTAGGGGAATATAAAACAAGGACACGTTTGATGTAAATGTCATTTGATGCTGATATAAACCCTATGTCTATTCCACCCTGTATTGAGGTAACATGCGCAAGCGGGTATGAAAAGCAAGGTAGGAGGCACAAGCGCTGTGTATCATAGCATGCACAGGCATGTAGGGAAGGGGAATCCCCAACATCAAGCTATCCGGATATCCATACCAGTAACAGAGTGACGGAGGAATCGTATGTATCGCAGACTTCATGTATGTATCGCAGACTTCCTTGTTAGCGTGTGTTTTGTATACTGTTGTACATGTTATGTGTTTAAATGTTGTGTGGGGTGGGGGGTAGTAGGTGTTTTGTAGCTTTTTCCCTTTTTTATATATATAATTTTTTTTTTTTTTTGTCTCCAAAGGAAAATGAAGAGGTGTAACTTTTGTATGTAAATGTAAAAGATCATTGGTAAATTTATAAAGAACTATGTTAAATTATTTTGTTATTTTGTATCCAATGTATTATGTTATAAATGTACAATTTTCTTTGAGAGAAACGAATAAAAACCTATGAAAACAAAAAAATGTGACGAATCCTAACCTAAAAAATCTACTTGGAAAAGAAGAAAACTGCTCAATCATTTTAGCCTTTATAAAAGGTGTGCTTTTCAGGATATGTATTGCAGACTTCATATGTGACGAATCCTAACCTTAATAAAAATCTACTTGGAAAAGAAGAAAACTGCTCAATCAGTTTAGCCTTTATAAAAGGTACTGTGCTTTTCAGGATTTTTTTTTCTCCATAAAAATAACAGAGTGACGGAGGAATCGTATGTATCGCAGACTTCATGTGACGATTCCTAACCTAAAGAATCTACTTAATTGGAAAAGAAGAAAACTGCGAAATCAGTTTAGCCTTTATAAAAGGTACTGGAAGATATCGAGAATTATAAAGTGTATTATAGCATTGTGTTGTTATCATTCTTGTGCTTTTCAGGATTTTTTTTTATTTTCCAAAAAAGTAACAGAGTGGCGGAGGAGATGATGGACATACGAAAGCCTGAATAAATGATGGCAGCCGATTATTAAATGCGCATACTATTAAACATAAAACACATTATTTATCATTAACCCTATAAATTGACACCGAAACTTCATGATATTAATTCCAACCAGCTCTAACAATAAATGACTAAAAAATAATGAGTAACGAGCACATTAACCCCCCATAATCTTCAATCTTGCACTTAGCCAATAACAAAGGCCAAGATAAATCTTTCTCTCACACACTGGGCAAGTATCAGAATCACAGAAACGTAGAGCAGCGCAGCAGAAGTGAGAGCAAGACGCCCTCACACACAGCCTGGCGAAACAACAACAACCAGTTGGTTTCCCGCGTTTGTGGGATTGCGCGCCAGCGCCAGGCCAGTTGAATACATAACAAACGAAGGTTCGTGCCTAGACTCTAGTTCTCAACGATCTGCTATGCTGAGAAAGACGTTCTCTGTCCTTTGTCGAAGCCGTTTACTTTTGCACCCTTCTGTTTGTCAACCTTTTTGCGACATGACTCCTGGTGTCGAATCCCCTGCCAAGAGGCAAAAAATGGAGGTAGACGGCATGGGTGATGCTGTAGTGGAACCCGTTTTGCAATTTAAAAGACTTAACGATGCCTTCGCTCCTGTTCGAGGCTCTGATCATGCGGCGGGTTTCGACTTGTTCAGGTAAGATTGACTCACTGACTGAGTAAGATTAGTTAAAAGGAAACCTCACCCCAAGAAATGAATGAGCTTAGTTAGACTGAGAGATTTATTATAGGCCTATTCTACAATACAATACTCCAATTCCCCTGCAAAGAAAGTGTATGAGTGATGTATAAACTTGGCCTAGGGTCTAGATTCTAGAAATATATAGGCCTAGAGTAAATACGTAACTAAATAGGTCTAGGGTCTAGTACTAGTAAAGTAGATCTAGACTAGTCTAATGCAAGAATAATTAAAAGTTTCTTAGTACGACATTTTCTTGATTAATGTGACGTAGTCTCGAGTAGAATACCTTGAATACCTTGAATACCAAAGCTTCTGGAAGAAAGCCGTCTCCAGCTGCCAAGCTTCCAGGTCTAACTTCAAGGGGGGGGGGGGATGTCCCAGCTTCCGGGTCTTGCACCATAGTCATTTTACATCTGTATCTTGCTTGCTGGGTCATATCTAGACCTAGATCTATACAGTATACGGTAGCCTAAAGATCTAGTCTAGATCTAGATCTAGTACTAATACTTTGTGAAGTCGTTTATCATGTAAATTTATTCGAATTTTTGAATGCTTCCTTTCCTGGCCTGGTGTGTGTGGTGATGAAGCATTTTGTGTTGTTGTTGTTGAGTTTGTTGGAGCTATCCATCGATTTCGATGATTTCCGCCAGGCTTGGTGAGAGAGGGCGTCTTGCTCTCTCTTTTGCAGTTCTACTTACATTCAAATGCAATTATCCTTTGTACTGCAATCGCCAGATTTCAATTTGCATAAATACGTTGCAGAGCTACCAAGTGTCACCCATATCGAGGGCCCAAAACACTGTCGTGCATCAGGGCCAAACTGGATTTTTGTCATGCATCAGGGACAGGGCCAGACTGGGGAAAAAAAATTAGTAATTGCTAGACTACGTACTGGCCGACCGCCTCAAGGCCTCGGCTAGCACCTCGCTTGGGTTCATGAACGTATATCGCATGCACGTAGCTAGACAGAAATAACCGTCTGATATGGGTCATTTCTTTAATAAAACTGACATTTGTTGACATTCCCTGACATTCCCCAATACAGACGGTAAGGTCTCGCAACGTGGGGGTAATCTAGAGCAATTCTGAACATCTTTTTGTAATTTTGGCTCCCCGACATTTTCTCCCCCGATTTTCTTTATTTAGATCTAATTTTCTGATCTATGAAACATCTATGTATAAGGTACTCCTATCTGGAGTAATTAAATATTGATAACCTACATGTATTATAAAATGCGAAATTTACGGACTTATGAGTTATCCAATTTTTGTTCAGAACCATGAAACAGTACGTTCATGCACTCGAACTAGTTATGACATGACCCGGCGGCCGATATATTTCCGGGTCAACCTACCAAAACATAGCCAATGGCCAATCAGAGCACTCGTTTCGTTGGTCAAGCTGGGCTGACTAATGCGTAGCTACGGTAGCTATTGGACGTTCGAAAAGAAAAAATGAATATTCATCAACTAAATCCAAGATGGCTGACAACGAATCATGTTGACTACGACACTTTCTCGGATTAATCATAGATTTAGGATCTAAATGAGCAAGCTATCGTTAGTCAAATAAGCTATATATATATATATATGTTATTTCTAATTTTTTAATATACTCTAATTATTGTAATATTGCAGCATTTATGAGGATGTAAAGAGTGAAAATCTCGTTGCATATCTCATTCATCGCGGTCCAGACGAACTTCAGTCTCTATAATCGGAGGTTTAGTGGAACAATCAACGATATGGAGAGACTGAAGCTTTTGGTCTATCACGTTGCTTCATGTGCTTGCGCGATTTCGAAATGTACACTTTATTTGCAATACGTACGATATATACCATCACGCGCTGAGTCATAAAAATATCACGCGAAACTGATCTTTGAACTTGGCATCTCTGACGTTGGTGCTCTTCTGGAGTGAAGGTTTCTCATAAATTAAAGGAAATAGATTTGTCAACAGTTTATAGTATTTTCAAATAGATTAGTTAAATTGTTTGCCTGTTATATAAATTCTTCACCAAACATAATTCTATCTTCTCAGCTATGATTTTTCCTCATTGAAAAGTAAAGGTTTCGTTACTGATTTTAAAAGTCTTTCCAACTAAAGCTGAGTGCATGATACTATAACTGGTACATGTAGGCCTACTGGTATGTCACATTTTCAAGAAAATGTCTGCGCCCATGTACATCAAAGGGTAGAAATACATCTCATTTTTCAGAATACCTACACTTATTCTGTGGGGTGAGGATTCCTTTAAGACGTAGCTCTCTTTAATCATTTGAGCCATCGCTACTGTTCTCAGCTTTAGGTAGAAGTGTACTCAAACACGTAGTACAAGCATTAGTTCATAAAACGGCATCAGACACGTCAGGACAGAAGAAGACCCCAAAACAAAACAAAAACAAACTTAAACAATGACTACCGGTATGACTTTTATACTAGATTCACAGTCATTTTCTAGATTCTTTAGTTTTAGTAAACTGGCATTTGTCCACCATCCTCGTACAAAAATGGTACCCTTTTCACCTGAACCGCAGCTACAATGTAGTTCAATTTTCACCACAATTTAGCAAAAACTTTGTCCCTGGTTTTTCTAAATCATGTTTAAATTAAACTATGCCCATGGTTTGATTTAGAACTAGATGGATGTTTGACTGCACGCAGTCGAAAATTATGCCTCCGCCATAGAGCAATTTTTCAAATTCAAGTTTGATTGTAATTCATTAACAAGTTCGCAGATTATTGCGATTACAAGTTATTTTTTATATACATGTATGACCCTTTGGTCTTTGATCTTAAGACCCTAAAATCGAATCAGGTCAATGGTGGCTCTGCAAGATACATACATGTCTTGAGTTTGATAGTAATCTATCTGTCAGTTGTAATAAGAAGGCGTTCACAAGCTATTTTTGCATACATAATGAGCCCCATGACCTTTGACCTCATGACCCCACAATCTACTCAATTCATTTGCTTTGCAAGATAAATACATGTTTTGATGGTAATCTGTTCATCGGTTTAATTATGTGATCATAAGCTATTTTTGCATATATAATGAACCCTGTGACCTTTGACTTTTGACCCTCAAATCTAATCAGATCATTGGCTCTGCAAGATACATACATGTACATGACTAAAGTTTGGCAGAAATCCATCCAGTGGTTCTTGAGATAACGTGAGCACAAGCTATGTTTGCATACATAATGAGTCCTTTGACCTTGTGACCCCAAAATCTAATCGGTTCATTAGCTCTGCTAGATACATACATGACCCAAGTTTGGCAGGAATCCATCAGTCGGTTCTTGAGATTACGTGATCACAAGCTATTTTTGCATACATAATGAGCCCTTTGACCTTTGACGACTCCCTGACCCAAAAATCTAATCAGCTCATTTGCTCTGCCAGATACATACATTGTTCAAGTTAGGCAGGAATTCGTCCATCGGTTCTTAAGATAAAGCGATCGCAAGAACGGGACGGACGGAGGGAAGGACAACCCGAAAACATAATGCCCCAAGTTTTTTTAATTTTTTAAGAGCTATACAAAAATTTGTTCCTACTCACAGTTTATAGATGGCTGTGTTTAAGTAAAAGTTTAGATATAGCATTGCTATCTTAATGACTTTATAAATGACTGTTCAAGTGTTCATAATGCAAGTCAAATTAACGTACTTGCTTCATGTAGTTGGACTTCTGATTTTATCAATGAGTTCATATTTGACTCCCTCAACTCTTCATCCACCGTTTCTATTTCTCCTTTCCAGTAATAAGGACATGGTTGTACCAGCCAAGGATAAAGCCTCAGTTCCTACCGACCTCCAAATCGCTCTTCCTAAAGGTTGCTATGGTAGGATAGCTCCAAGATCAGGGTTAGCATTAAAGAAGTTCATCGATGTCGGAGGTATTTTTCTTCATTTCACTCATAAAGATATTTAATCCATTTTGGCAGATTCTTTTATGCTTTCAGTAACATTTGGGTGATTTGAAGCTCCAGAGTTCTGATAATATTGCTTGACATAGTGATGGATCTGAAAAAGCTGCACTTTCTTCTTGAAATTCAGTTTTTTTTCAGAGTTTTCGTGTCATGATCGAAAAAATCCACAACTGCCCAGCAAGATTAATTTAAATCAAATTTGTTGGCATCTGTAAAATTTAGTGTCACGAGGGTTAAGATTGTCTTCTTTTTTTTTCAAAAGTAGAATGCGATCAAAAAAACAATACACAGAGCGTGTCTAATACCCCATTCACAGTGGTTTTGAAATTTGTAGCGGCGTTGTAGCGGAGCGGCGACACCGCCATAACACCGCTACAAATGCATTCACAGTAGAAAAGTTATCCCGCTGCAGCAGCGGGATAAATATCATGTACCCATGCATTCACGCTGCAGCGGGTGATTTTTATTACCTCCGTAACAAACACGTGTATGCATGGCTCATGACCCGCGAGTGACCCCGATATGACCGGAAATACTTCAGCGCGGGGTTTTCGATTGCTTGAAATTGCGCGCGCTAGCTGTACTTTACACACTCTTCCTCGTCTAGCTAGCTCGATCATTTTACTTTTTAAAAAACTAGCATTTTTATTGCTTCCAGTCAGAATATTTTTTATTTTTTGAAGTGTGAAATATTTTTATTTGGATAATTATAATATCTACATAATAATAAAATCAATTTGAATCCACTGGTTACTTTATTTCTATTTCACTTTATGTTCCCCATTGCTGGAGAAAAGAGGTCAGTGATAGGTAAGTAAACAAATCACACGTGTTTGTCGCGGTGTTATAGCGGAGAGCCTTCACACTGAGTAAACACCGCGACAGCAGCGGGACTGTCCCGCTGCTGTAGCTAGGCGAACCTAGCGATAGTTTGTCGCGGCGTTATCGCGAGGCGGTGTTATCCCGCGATAGTTTATAACGGGTCCGAGCCTTCACACTGAAGACAACACCCCGACAGCAGCGGGACAGTCCCGCTGCTGTCGCGGTGTTTGAGGCCACTGTGAATGGGGTATAATTTCAACTATTTGTTGCACTTGTATAATACCACTACTATTCTTGCAAAATTTGGCTTGTTATTCCAATTAAAGTGTTGATTACAGTGGTAATACAATTAGTCTGGTTGTCATATTGAGTCATGTAGATTTATACCATTAATATTAAGCACTAATATCTCAAGCAAAGCAAACAATTACAATTATGTTAAACATCTGCCAAATTTAGAAAGTTTTAGAAGAAGAATATCAAGATCTGATAAAATATTATTTTTAAAAATATGTTGCGTGTTCATCTAATCTCAATTTTTCTATGTCTGTCTTCAACAGCTGGTGTTATTGACAGGGACTACAGAGGAGAGGTATTTGTTCTACTTTTCAACTTCTCAGATACTAACTTTGAAGGTTTGTTCCTTGAATATTTTTTGTAATGATAGTTCATTTGAAATAAATGTGTTCAGTAAAGATTTGTTTTTTTTTGTGACTTCTAAACTAAAACTGCACTTTGTGAAGATCTTATGGCAGCATCATGCCATTTGAGTTTGATATAAATCACTCTTGTGTTGGTAAAGATGTGAGGATTTGTAGAAACATCAGTACATCACTGAAAATTCTTTTTTTCTCACGCTGATATTGTTCCAAGAATTCTACTTGTATTTAACATGTGATGTAAGTTGAATGTGAGTGAATAACAAATAAAGATACACTTTGAGTTTCTATAAAACACATAATATCTTAGATGCTGCATGTAAGTATCGGCCTACATGGTGCTGTAAATATACAGTAGTCTTGCGGGTGCACCATGTGAGAGAGAGGGAAGATTGAGGAGTCCTGAAAAGGACTCTCAGTAATCTTTCTTGAGGGTGTGTAGTCCTGAAAAGGACTGTTGGGATAGTCTTGAAAAAGACTGTTGGTTATCTTTCTTAGCTTATAGTTCTAAGGAGAACTATAGTGCTTGGAGAGGAGAGTGGCGTGAGTGGCTCGACGACGGATAGTCAACCTGTTCGAAACGTCGAGCCACTCCCACAGTCTTTTTCAAGACTACTGTACATAATATCTTTTTTTTTAAAATAATTTTGCACATCTCGCAGTCACATTTTAAATGTAGATCACCTTATAAACTGACATCGGTAAATCGATTGTCTCTTATACCTGAGAAATATACCTTGGAAGTAGGCATTTAAAGTTAAAAATTATTTGCCTCTCGTTGACATTCGGATGAAGAATCCATATTTTGGCACATGTTTAGTGGCGCTATACAGCAATTGACGAACATGGACAAGCGAAGGACTCCTCTGGGTCAAATTGATCTTTTCTTGACGACCAAAATTTCAACAATTGGATTTAAAGCTGTTTAGTGACTTGCTCTCCACAACTACAGAGGAGAGGTTGTTCCATTCATTGTTACATCTCTGTGAAAATGATCCATGTCTAAGCTTCGAGTAGACTTTCTTCTTAACGATCTTGTATCGATGGCCAAGGGTTCTATTATCAGTTGGATGGTCAAAGAAGTGTGCTAGATCCAGTTCATCTAGGCCATGCATTATTTTGTATATCTCTTTTAAAAATTTCAAATTTCTATCAATATTTTCCCTGAAATCCCCCCTTTTTGTCTCGCCTGCGTAGCAAAAAGCGAGACATAGGTGCCGCTTTTCCGATGGCGGCGGCGGCGTCAACATCAAAAACTTAACGTAAGGTTAAGTTTTTGAATTTTTGATATAATTTTTAAAGTATAAGTTCTTAGTCAATGAAACTTGACTATAGGGTAATCAAGTATCCCCAATCATGTGAGTAGAATTTCAGATCACAAAGTCAAGGTCAAAGGTCATTCAGGTCAACAGACTTGGACTATGCTGTAGCATCATCATCGAAAACTTAACGTAAGGTTAAGTTTTTGAATTTTTGATATAATTTTGAAAGTATAAGTTCTTAGTCAATGAAATTTGGACTATAGGGTTATCAAGTCTCCCCAATCATGTGAGCAGAATTTCAGGTCACTAAGTTAAGGTCAAAGGTCATTTAAGGTCAACAAACTTAGACTTTATTGTGGCATCAACATCAAGATATTCAAAATGCTTCTTCGTTATTTTTCATTTCATTTATTGATTCTGATTGTTTCATATGATAGGGCTAGGAGGGGGATTTAAAATTTCTACACAGAATCGTGAAATTCATTATCTATGCTAATTTATGCAAATTTATTCGAAATCACAAAAAAGGCTTCTTCTCCTTTATTTCTCGACCGATTTTGATTTGGTTTGCTTTATATGGTAGAGCTAACTTTGGTACACTAAACTTCTACACAGAATTTCGAAAATGTTCTCCATTAATTAATTATGGTAATTTATGCAAATTTATTCCAAAAATAACAAAAATTGCTTCTTTTCCCTCATTTCTTGACCGATTTTGATTTGGTTTGCCTTATCTGGTAGAGCTAAATTTGGAACACTAAACTTCTTCACAGAATTGTGAGATTTTGCTCCATTGATTATTTATGGTACTTTGTGCAAATGAAATGAAATTACCGGTCTGTCCCTTCCTGGGCATCAAATTTTTATTTTTTGACCAGTTCAAAAGTGTACCACATAAAATTAACGATATTTGTTGTTGCGAGATGCGGATGAGCACTACGTCATTGACGTTCCGGTTTATCATATTGTATTGCATTATGCAGGCGAGACCGCCGAGAGCGTTTCCCTTGTTTAATTACATATTAAGCTTTGCGATTTTCTGCCTATATGACCTATTAAATTCAATTATAAAGAGATTTGTTGACATTGTTTATTACTATTCTATAATCTTTTAAAGTAGATATTCATTGATTTTAAATCTAGCTTTATTTTCATTATTGCAAAGTTGAAACTTTGATTCGACAAGGTTATCAAAATTCAATGCATTGAAACATTCGAAGTAATGATTATTATAAATTACAAAACGCTTAAATACAGCCCCGGCATAGCACCTGAATAGCTCTCCGAACGCTGCTGAGATGTGTGAGATCACAGCAGGGACATGATTTGCACAAGCAGACGATGTACCATGACATCTCACACATTTTCAGTGCCTGTATTTTCATCTTCTCTTGAGTTCTTTCTCTTACTTCACCACCGCCAGGCTAAATGTATAATCTATTGCCTCACTCTAAACCCGCGCATGGTTTTATTTTGATGACAAATGCAGCGATACAAAAATAAAGGAATCTGTCGCTTGTAAACAAAATAAGACGCCATTGTATATTCAGCTGCAGACACCGCGGTATGTTCGGCGTTTTAAGAGGGAACAAATGCCGTCCTTAATATCAGTCCGGGGGCTTTTCAATTTGAAAGGCTGGTTTCTTTGATTGTTAATTAACCCCTATCCTGAGTATTTACAATCAAAAGATTTTAGTTATCAGAATCGGGTCATGTCCCCTTTTGATCGGTTTGACGTGCCAGTACATTTATATACACTAAACTCATTATAATTTGACAAATAATAGCTTTGCAATTATGTTCATTCTTTATGGGATGTCGTCTACTTGGGCAGTATTGGTCCCTGTTGTGACGTCATTAAAACATCGTTATTTTTCTGGCGAATCTCTCGTATATCCCAGCTGCTATGGAGGTGGTTGTATTTTTATTTTTATAAATCACCCGATATGTAGCTGACCTCAAACTTGTACGATGGCCATTTGTTAGCTTACCAGTTTCTAGTGATACATTAGTTGACATATTTGTGATTTTCTTTGAATTTCACTTTTAAAATGTTTGTTTCTCTCGATCCACAGTGAAGAGAGGAGACAGGATAGCCCAGTTAATCTGTGAAAAGATCTTCATGCCTACCTTAGTTGAACGTGAGGTAAGATTGCCCCAACTATTCTTGAACTGGTGCATGCCTGATGCAAACACCTGTTGTTTATTGATATCTAGAATGCTAAACTTTTATTATGAAAAACTAAACAGTATTCAAAGGTCAGACATGTTTTTATAATTTTAGGGATGGATACGATGCATAAATATTAAATCATATATTTTCATCCTTATTCTTGACAAATTGGTTTTTAGTATAATGCTTCTAAGATCACCACCAGAGAGAGTAATGTATTTTGTTTTCGGGTTGTCCGTCCGTACGTCCCGTTCTCGTGATCGCATTATCTCAAGAACCGATTGATGGATTCCTGCCTTGGTCATGTATGTATCTTACAGAGCCAATGAATTGATTAGATTTTGAGGTCACAAGGTCAAAGATCAAAGGTCACAGGGCTCATTATGTATGCAAAAATAGCTGGTGATCACATCATTGGAACCGATGGACAGATTACCATCAAACGCGGGACATGTATTTATCTTGCTGAGCCAATGAACTGATTAGATTTTAGGGTCATGAGGTCAAAGATCATAAAAGGGTCATACATGTATATGAAAAATAGCTTGTAATCATGATATTCTGAGAACCTGTTAATGGATTACAATTAAACTTAAATTTGAAAGATTGCTTCTGTTTTGGTTTGTGAAATTGCTCTATGGCGGAGGCATCAGTTTCGACTGCACGCAGTCGAAGTTCCATCTAGTTCTCTTTTCTTTTGATGCTGACTTTGTTTTGGCTACAAACACACACAAACACTCAAGCATATGAACGTGAGATGTGGTATAAATGAACTACGGGGGGCTTGTTTGTAAGAAATATGGTTAATGGGTCAATTTAAATGCTTTTTGGGTGATATTTGTAGAGCAACTTAACCTTCAATACAGCTTTTATGTAAAATGGTAAACAGTATTAATATGAAGAAGACGAGCATCAGTAATATTCCTCTATAGCTACAAATACTGCAAAATATTAAGTGATCAATCCCCACTAATAACAGCCTCGTTACTAGTCACAACATGAAATTAAGATGAAACGATTATACAAAGTGCATCAGATATAATGTATTATATGATGTCATGCATGAAGAACATTCCCATTATGGTGTGTTCTAAAAATTATCCAACATGACCCTTTCCTACGCTTATGATATAATGTAGAGCAAATTTTTCTTACTGATGCATATAAAATGGGCGACACATTGTTACCTATTCCAGGACGAAAAAAGTCTGTTCACCCTACAAAATTGAAAAACTAGGTACCAAAGTAATATGTGAACTAAGACAAATGGTATAGTTTTCCATGCGATACATTATGACTGTATTGCCAAGTGGAGATTTCACAAATCAGTAGTGATCTCATTTTTCCTATTCATATTCTTTAATTTTCTGAAAGTTTTACTTGTTGTTTCTCAAATATAATTGATAAAGGTTTCTTTTCTCATCAACATGAGGCCATGTCATTTATTTTTCTTTTCTAATTTGCTTTCCTTCTTCTTCTTTTTTCTTCTGATTTTTACAGACATTAGAGGAGACCAAGCGAGGAGAAGGGGGTTTTGGTTCAACAGGGACAAATTAATTAGCAACTCCAAACAGTAGTTACCTCAGCAGTATACCGTCACGAAACCAGTCTGGATGGAACAATAAGCTGGAAATGTTGGACATTACTCCGCAGAACAATTCAAAACGAGTGGTAGCACGTTTTGCTACACATTTTCATGGCATAGAATAGTGTTACATGTATTTTCTGTAATTTCATACACCATCATATGGTCAGGTGATAATCATTTGGAAATGATAAATTCTGACATCAAAGGCTCACATATAAAAAAAGAAAATTAGGTATCAATTTCAAAGATTTTCTGAATTTCTTGCATTAAGCCAATGACAATTTTGAAAGCTTGTTTTGTGCTCTTTGCAGTAAAGATCATACAGGTTTAACTATAATGAATGTATAAACAAAATTTTCAAAAATGACCAAGATGCCTGTACTCCGGGGTAACAGGCCGCATAGTTAAATTTTGCTGCAATCCCTATTGATTTACATGTAAAAAGATACTTTATGCGAACGCAGATACCATACAGTGTGTTTGACAGCAAAAACACCAAAAATTCTCCCTAACAATATTTGAAGACTACCTGCAAGTTATCAACACAGACCTCGATAGCTCCAGAGGTTTTACGCTGGTGCTAGACAGAAGAACGGTTCTCTATACAGGAAGAAGTCGATGTTAATTATTAGATTCAGACACACTTCTCACAAGAAGACATGAAAAAAATCCAAAGTTTCGCTTGATGTAGATAATTTACTAGGCCTTCAGGACAAGGAATTTATTAATGTTATGTTGTATTTTTGCAAATGTGGGAGGAAGAATTTGCGTGAAATGACACTCGACAGCATAGAAATTTGTAAGGTAGGGGGGAAAATGCTACATAACTCTCATAGATACATTCTCAAAAACAACCGTGCAGTTAAACTAGAGAAAAGCCAAGTTGGTTTCATGACTCCAACTAATGGTCCACAATGTCCTGTTGCCTCCTTCTTACGCTACAAAGATAAATTGAACACCCAATGTAACTGGTTTTGGCAGAGACCGGCAAAGCCTAAGCGTGAGTTGAATCCATCTTGTTCTGGTCCATGGTACTGTAATGCACCCCTAGGGAAAAACACCATCGGAAAAAAGATGAAAACAAATTACATCTCGTGCAGGTACCAAGGCGTACACCAACCATTGCCTAAGGGCAACCAGCATCAGTACCCTACAAAATGCAGGGTTCCGAGATCATGAGTGGCAGCTGTTGATCCGCAATCAGTACCATCATCATCGACATTCACTGGTGGCACTGTTAGAAAGCGTAGGAACTCAAAGAATATATCTATACTAATAACCATTGTTATATAAATCAAAGAATGTATAGTTGCATGTAAATACAGTAGGATTTGTTTATTTCGCTTGCTAGACAAAGCCTTGTTTTATCTATTGTAAATCTGATAAATGGTTGCAAGGATACTATCTTAGTGTTTCGCTCAAAAACAGATCTGCTGCGCTGTATTTGTTGCCCTCTTGAGGTGAAAGTCTTCCAGGATGTATACACTGTTGTGTGCCGGGCAGAAAGGCCACAAAGTGCATGGACGTCCGTTGCTATAAATACGCAATTCAAGTTTATGACCTTTCTTTCATTACATCTGCACAACAAAGTTTACTCCATTAATCTTAATTGTGAACAATTTGTCTTCAGTTATCCTTTCATCACAAAAATAAAGGGGAAAATATTCATAGAATGCAAGTACTATGTAAGTTGGTATATACAGAGTGAGTAAAAAAAAAGTTTACACCTAGAAAATTGCTTATTATTTAAAAAATCATCGATGAACGTTAAACTGTTATATGTCTTATGGAAAAGTGTTTTATCCCAAATCATTTGGTACCATTTTTGTGTGGTATGTGTTCACGCTTGGATGAACAGGAGACATTGTTTGCGAGAGTGCAAAAATTCGAATTGCGCCAAAGTTGCCTGTGTGATGTTTGAATAAAACAATTGGGATTTGGGTATTAATCCGGTCTTTGCAGATCCAAATAACACCCCTAACAAAATTAATCATGCCACACATATCAAATATCAACGAACATTTGCGCGCATATGTGTGGGTGTTTGTGACTTTGCCCTTTGCAAAAACATATGCAATGCATTTCATTTGATACATTCAATCCATTCTCTCACTCCACTAATCCCAACATAATACATAATGAAGGCATCACTTTGGCGCAAGTCGATTTTTGCACTCGCAAACAATGCCACCTGTTCATCCAAGCGTGAACACATACCACACAAAAATGGTACCAAATGATTTGGGATTAAACACTCTTTCATAAGATGTATAATAAGTTACTGTTCATAGATGATTTTACAAATAATTAGGAATTTTCTAGGTGTAAACTTTTTTTTGACTCACACAGTATATACTGATTAATGTGGATACTGAAACTTAGCTTATAGTTTGAGTATCATGTTAATATCAGTCTCTAAACCTTGATATGATAAAAGTACTATGAATGGTATCATAGAATGGCATTACATGGTGCACTATTGCTGAATTTTGGCATCTCATGATTTAGTGTTATTATTAATGTTTCTATACATGTATTCAGTATGTTTTTCATTCTGTATGTAAATAACAACAGTTGAACAACTTTCATTTTGTATCGAAATGTCTTTATTTTGTGGAGGTCTGTCAGATACTTGCAATGGTGATTGTAGTGATGTATGGTATGAGTTATGGTGATGGTAATGATAGCATTGATAATATTGATTACGAGGTGAATTGTAATGTTGATATTTGTGGTATGGGTGATGATGGTGTTCACAGCCAATAGCTGCATGTGGTACATTACACATGTATATTACACTACATAAGATTGTGGTAATAATGATGACATGATGGGTTCATAAAAGTATGGTGGAAATGATGGTTGTGTTAGCAGTAGAATTGGAGAGTGTTATGATGTAAGAATTGTGGTAATATTTGTGATGATGTTGATAGCAGTAGCAAGGATACGATTGCTTGTCATGAAGATTAACCTGAATGCAATATCGATGATGGTAGTCACAGTTTAAGTGGTGATGTGACGGTGTAAATGATAATGGTGATTACAATATATGTGATAATGGTAAATGTGATTACACTATCTGTGATAATGGTATGAATTATAAATCTGATTACACTATCTTTGATAATGGTGTGAATGATAAATGTAATTACAATATCTGTGATGATGGCATGAATGATAAATGTAATTATAATATCTGTGATAATGGTATGAATGATAAATGTGATTACAATATCTGTGATAATGGTATAAATGATAAATGTGATTACAATATCTGTGATAATGGTATGAATGATAAATGTGATTACAATATCTGTGATAATGGTATGAATGATAATGGTGATTACAATATCTGTGATAATGGTATAAATGATAAATGTGATTACACTATCTCTGATGATGGTATAAATGATAAATGTGATTACAATATCTGTGATAATGGTATGAATGATAAATGTGATTACAATATCTGTGATAATGGTATAAATGATAAATGTGATTACAATATCTGTGATAATGGTATAAATGATAAATGTGATTACAATATCTGTGATAATGGTATGAATGATAAATGTGATTACAATATCTGTGATAATGGTATAAATGATAAATGTGATTACAATAACTGTGATAATGGTATAAATGATAAATGTGATTAAAATATCTGTGATAATGGTATTGATAATAATGAAGAAAAAAAATACTGCATTGGTGATGGAATTTATCACATGCTCATATAAGTTATTAGTCCTACAATCTCTAAAAAGAAACAGAAAGAAGGTAAGGCGATGACCACATTGTTTTTTTTTGTTTTTTTTTGGGGGGGGGGGGGGGGGGAGGAGACAACATTTTTGGTGCTAATCTGTTCAGCCAAATAAATCTTTGCCATTTTCTAGTGTGTTCTCCTGTGTGACAAGAGGAAGTTCATGGCGGAGAGATTACCAGGGATAATGCATTTGATTACACAATGACATTAGTACATCAATAAAGACTTCATTACTTAAAATGAGAAAGTGGAGAATACTAAAGACATGAGGGAATTGTGTCTTGATTTAGAGGGGGGGGGGGTGTGGTCAAGATGAGTGTCCAACTAACGGGGGTTAGTTTTCCTTGGGATGTATTTCTGGAAGCAAGTGTCCAGGGAACTTGTCCTTTGTGGTACTTGTTCAAGAATGCTGGTGCAGGAAATTTAGGGATTTTGATGAATAATGGTGTAACATTTTATAAGCGGTGATAGTAATGGTATAATTAATGATATTAGTGAAAATGATGACCATTACGACTGATGTGAATGTGGTAGTGATTGGTATCAATGGTGATAACCCATAGGAAAGAAATGAGCCTGCCGCATACTCCTGCGGCAGACTTGCCGCAGATCTGCAGCAGACCTGCCGCAGACAGTCATCTTTTTCACATGCAAATTAGTCTTGCCGCAGACTTGCCGCAGACTTGCCGCATACTCTTTCAGTATGATGAAGAGTCTGCGGCAGGTCTGCCGCAGACTTGCTGCAGACTTGCCGCATACTCTTTCAGTATGATGAAGAGTCTGCGGCAGGTCTGCCGCAGACTTGCTGCAGACCTGCCGCATACTCTTTCAGTATGATGAAGAGTCTGCGGCAGGTCTGCCGCAGACTTGCCGCATACTCTTTCAGTATGATGAAGAGTCTGCGGCAGGTCTGCCGCAGACTTGCTGCAGACTTGCCGCATACTCTATCAGTATGATGAAGAGTCTGCGGCAGGTCTGCCGCAGACTTGCTGCAGACCTGCCGCAGACTCTTCGTCATGAATATTCATATCTCATATAGACCTGCTGCAGACCTGCCGCATACTCTTTCATATCCAGTACGTGTCAATAAAGTATGCATGTAGAAGAACCAGTGATAAACTGATTGATACATAATCGATATTGGCAATATCGATATTACCAATTAGGTAATACCAATATATATCGATGTTACCAATTAGGTATATTCTTTTCTCAATTGTATTAACTTCATCACATTGATCATTTGAAGTGTATTCAATAGTAACATTTAAAGTGACACAGGCTCGTACACATATATAAACTAAATATGTATATTGTTTCTTGGTTAGTAATCATAGTTTCTTGGTTAGTAATCAATATATCTATTGCTTAAACGTGAATGTAATTGTAACATGATCAGACAAAATAATCTATTGGTTAATAATGGCAAAGGAAAATAGAAATCACAAAAATGATGTGCATTGTCTTAATTTGCTTAACAAATCATGATAAATGTATTTTTCTGTCACACGTGTAAAGTAATAATGAATATGCATGAGATGATTGGTTTCAATTGGCCCTATTAGACTTTAATGGGATTTCCTGTGGCAGACCTGCCGCAGACTGTTCCTGTGGCGTACTGGTATGCGGCAAGTCTGGAGCAAAGTTTCGCCCTGCCGCAGATCTGCCGCAGACTGTTCCTGTGGCATACTAGTATGCGGCAAGTCTGTAGCAAAGTTTCATCCTGCCGCAGATCTGCCGCAGACTGTTCCTGTGGCATACTAGTATGCGGCAAGTCTGCCGCAAAATTTCATCCTGCCGCAGATCTGCCGCAGACTGTTCCTGTGGCATACTAGTATTTTGGCAAGTCTGGAGCAAAGTTTCATCCTGCCGCAGATCTGCCGCAGACTGTTCCTGTGGCATACTAGTATGCGGCAAGTCTGCAGCAAAATTTCATCCTGCCGCAGATCTGCCGCAGACTGTTCCTGTGGCATACTAGTATGCGGCAAGTCTGCAGCAAAATTTCATCCTGCCGCAGATCTGCCGCAGACTGTTCCTGTGGCATACTGGTATGCGGCAAGTCTGCAGCAAAATTTCTTTCTGCCGCATACTTCGGCATACTCTTTGCCGCAGACTAAAAGTCTGCGGCAGGTCTGCGGCAGATCTGCGGCAGGTCTGCGGCAGGTCTGCGGCATACTTTTCACTTTCCTATGGGAATAGCTGTAGTTGATGGTAATAAATATCGTAAAGTTGATGGTTATATAATGTTGGTAATAGTTATGATTATGATATTGTTTTGGGTGATTTAGGTGACAGTAAAGTAAACACAACCATCATGATCATAGGAGGCAGGGGGGCAAAGTAACTTCAGTACCCGCCTTCGAAAGAGAGAGAGAGAAAAAAAGGGGAAAAATAGGTCGACAGATTAGGATACGTCGGGTAAAGATCATAATTTTTCCTGTTAAAATAATCAGCTTATCAATAAACGATTACGAATCAAACCTACTTTCTCAATTAATCTCTGAGCTTGCTTTTTATATGATTCCTTGAAAGAAATAGTCAGTTATAAGACAAATCCCATGAACAAGATGCGACATCTCATCATCTTCATTTCACAAAATGACAGAAAACCTCGATTCCAATCTAACCTGAATTAAAATTTTATCTCAAATTATTCATTGGTATCGTAAAATTATTTGCTAAATGACAAAAGGTAAGCATGGGTTTGAAATTATGGAAAGAGGTTAACCGAGACAGCGAATATACCAGCCAATGACATCGTAAGGATGATTGGAACGGCCTCCATTAGATGTCATACAATTCGCTTTATTTGCTCCGTCCATGTAAAGGAGGTTGGCGGACAGAGTAAGGGAGACGAGAGTGCGTGGGAAGAATCACCGGAAAT